GCCTGGAAAAGTTAACCCAGAATGATCAACTCTGAAACATTCTCTGGTAACATGATTAGATGTTAAAGAAAAAGAAAAAACCCTCAAAGTCTCAGGGAGTAAGGCACTGGCCCCATATGCCAGAAGTGGCAGGTTCAAACCAAGCCCCAGCCAAAAACTGCAACAAACAAACAAACAAACAAACAACAACAACACAACAAACAAACAAACAAACAAAACCCTCAAGGTCTTTAGGCAAAAAGATCAAATAACTTATAATGGCAATAAAGTTTCTGTCATTAGACTTTTACAAAACAGTGCAAGGAAACAATGGAACAATATTTAAAAAATACTTAATAGAAGAGAGTGATGTGTACATAATACACTAAAAACAAACATGAAGATGGGAGTGGAAATAGTACACATCTTGACAATGTACAAACGTTGAAAAGTGGGGAAGAAAGACAGAAAGAGGAAAATAAAATAATCTCACTGATTGTTGTGTAGGAAGAGGGTGGGAGTGCAAGGGTATCAGGTGTTATTAATACAAATGGGAAACTGGGTGTTAAAGGTTAAATAATAAAATAGAGGACAAGGGCATAAAAATAGCTTAGGAGCACAAAGCTAACTAGAACAAAAACACAATCCTTCCTAAATTAAAAGAAAATTGAAGTTGGGCAGCACCTGTGGCTCAAAGGAGTAGGTCGCTGGCCCCATATGCTGGAGGTAGCGGGTTCAAACCCAGCCCTGGCCAAAAACACCCCTGCAAAAACAAAAACAAAAACAAAACAAAATTGATGTCCAAGAGCAAAGAATAAATACTGTGTAGAAAGAGCAATGTAGCAAATATAACAAAATATGCAGAAACACACAAGTCAGGACAGACTAAACATATCAATCACATCAGTAAATATCAACGGGCTCAGCTCACCTATTTAAAGAAAAGATTTTCACTTTGGCAGAAACCAAGACAAACTAAATGTCATGTATAAGGTATGCACCTGAGACAAAGTGGATTCCAAAAGGTCAAAATAAAGAGGCGGACAAATGTGTACTGGACAATGGAAAGTCAAAAAGCAGGGCAGTGGTCCTGATGACAGCATGGAAGTCCAGTCCTCCAGGCATCACGTGCGTCAGGCAGGCAGCTCATAATGCTGAACGTCACGGTTCATAGAGAAGGCAGACACTTAATGCATACGGATGGACCCAATGACACAGCAAACATCTTTATGAAATGAAAACCACAAGACTTGGAAGGTCACGATGATGGAAACACAGTCATGTTTCTGTAACTGACACTCAGTACCAGACCAATCAAGAGGACAGAAAAATGAACCAAGAACCTGGAAAACGTGAACTAGACAGTCAGCAAGGCAGCCTTGCGAACACCTGGGCAACCTCATTTCACTGCGCTTTACTGCTGTTTGCAGGTGTGACGCTTTACATGTTGGATGACTGCGCTGACCCTGCCTCTAGCAAGTCCATTGGCATCATTTTCCCAACAGCCTGTGCTCACTTTGTGTCTCTGCATCACATTTTTATAATTTTTACAATATTTCAAACTTTTTCATGATAATTATGTCTGTTTTGGTGATCTATAACTGGTGACCTTTGATGTCACTATTGTAATTGTTTGGGGGAACCATGATCTGCACCCAATAAGCGTGTGTTCCAACTGCTCCATGTGCCAGCCCTTCCCGTCTCTGTCTCTCCCCCCTCTCCTCCCATCTCCCTTGTCCCAGAGACACAGCAATATTGAGATTAGGCCAATGAATAACCCTAGGAAGGTCTCTAAATGTTCAAGTGAAAGGAATAGTCTTAAGTCTCTCATTTTAAATAAAAAACTAGAAATTATAAAGCTTGGTGAAGCAGCATGTTAAAAGCTGGGAGAGCCCAAAAGCTGGGCCTCTTGTGCCAAACAGGCAAGTTGTGGATGGGAAGGAAAAATTCTTGCAGGAAATTAAAAGTGCTACATACGAATAATAAGAAAGTGAAAACGGCCTCATTGCTGATAAAGAGAAAGATTTAAAAGTCTGGACAAAAGATCAAACCATCCCCTCAAGCCAAAATCTAATCCAGAGCAAGGCCCTGACCCTCTTCAATTCTATGGCGGCTGAGAGAGGGGAGGAAGATACCCAAGAAAAGTTTGAAGCTGCAGAGGCTGGTTCAGGGGGTTGGAAGAGGCCGTCTCTATAGCACAGAAGTGCAAGGTGAGGCAGCAGGTGCTGCTGGAGAAGCTGCAGCACGCTGTGCAGAAGTCTAGCGAGGATGACTGTGAAGGTGGCTACCCTAAAGTATGGATTTTTCATGTAGGCAAAACAGCCTTCTACTGGAAGTAGATGCCATCTAGGACTTCCACAGCTCGAGAGAGGAAATCAGTGCCTGGCTTCAAACCTTCAAAGGGCAGGCCGACTCTCTTGTTAGGGGTGAATGCAGCTGGTGACTTGAAGTTGAAGCCAGTGCTCATTTACTGTTCCCAGAATCCTGGGGCCCTTAAGAACGATGCTAAATCTACTCTGCCTGTGCTCTAAAATGGAACGACAAAGCCTGATGACAGCACATCTGTTACAGCATGGCTTACTGAGTATTTTAAGCCCACTGATGAAACCTGCTGCTTAGAAAAAAAGATTCCTTTCCAAAGATTACTGACAACGTATCTGGCCACCCCAGAGCTCTCATGGAGATGTGCAAAAAGATCATGTGGTTTTCCTGTCTGTTAACACGACATCATTCTGCAGCCCATAGATCAAGGAGTCATCGTGACTTACAAATCCTAGTATTTAAGAAACACATTTTATAAGGCTGCGGCTGCCAAAGACAGTGATGCCTCTGATGGATCGCAGCAAAGTCAACTGAAAACCCTCTGGAAAGGATTCTCCACTCTAGACACCATTAATGACAGTCATGATTTATGGGAGAGGGTCAAATATCAAAATTAAGAGGCATCTGGAAGTTGAATCCAACCCTCACGGATGACTTTGAGAGGTTTAAGACCTCAGTGGATGATGTGACTGCAGATGTGACAGAAAGAGCAAGAGAATCAGAATTAGGAGTGGGGCCTGAAGATGGGACTTCATCGCCCCGATTTCACATCAGATTTGAAGAGATAAGGACCTGCTTTTTACGGATGAGCAAGGAAAGTGGTTTCTTGTGTGGCGCCTGTGGCTCAGTAGGTAGGCTGCTGGCCCTATATACCAAGGGTGATGGGTTCAAACCTGACCCTGTCAAACTGCAACAAAAAATAGCTGGGTGTTGTGGGGGCACCTGTAGTCCCAGCTACTCTGGAGGCTAAGGCAGGATAATCGCCTAAGCCCAAGAGCTGGAGGTTGCTGTGAGCTGTGATGCCACAGCACTTTACTGTGGGCGATAAAGTGAGACTCTGTCTTTTTTTAAAAAAAAAATAGTGGTTTCATGAGATGGAATCTACTCCTGGAGAAGACGCCATGAACACTACTGAAATGAAAACAAAGGATTTAGAACACTGTACACTTAGCTGATAAAGCAGCGGCAGGGTTTGGGAGGATTGACTCCAACTTTGAAAGAAGTTCTACTGTGGGTAAAATGCTATCAAACAGCGTTGCACACCACTGAGAAATCTTCAGTAAAAAGAAGAGTTGATTGATGTGGCAAACTTCATTGTTGTCTTATTTTAAGAAATTGCCACAGCCACCCCAGCCTTCAGCGCCCAGCACCCTGATCAGTCAGAACCAGCAACATCAAGGCAATACTCAACTCCAGCAAAAAGGTTATGACTCACTGAAGGCTCAAGTGATTGGTAGTGTTTTTAGCAAGAAAGTCTTCTTATAAATTAAGGCATGCACACTATCTTTCAGGATAGGATGCTACTGCACACTTCCCAGACCACAGCACAGTGGAAACCTGACTGGAAAACCAGCACACCGGGTGGCTGAGCTGCAGTGGTCTGGGATCACTCCTGTCATATCTGCAGGTGCTTCTGTATACCTAACTCTACACCTGATGACAGAAAACACACCTGCTTCTCAAGTGTCCATGGGACGGTCACAGAAAGTGTTTAGAAGGTCAGTAAATTCACAAAGTAGAAGTATTACAGACAACCTTCTTGCCGCAAGGCAGCAGCAATAGAACACACTAACAGAGAGAAGAGGTCTCCTTCACACAGAGACTGGACATCTTCCCAGAAACAGCTCTCTGGCACTGAGAGCCCTCGAGAGCTCTTCTGGTGACTCCTGCACTTTACTGAATAGGAGGCAGGTGCAGCAGCTGGGGGCCAGGGACCTGTGGGGTGCAGGTGCACCCTGTGTGGGAGGAGGGAGATGGGCCGGGACAGGTGAGAGAGTAAGAGGTATGCAGGGCAGTGGGGTATGGGTTCTGAGTGAGCTGGAAGGTGGGACGAGGTGGCATGCAGATGCTTGAAGCTGGTGATGACCATGTGGAGGGCATGGACGGCTGTGGGATGGGGCAGCTGAGAGACAGGAGATCCAGGCTCAAAGAAGTCAGGAGGGAAGGATGGCTAAATCCCTGAGAGTCCAGGCAGGGGACTGAGTGGGAGGGCTACCTCTTCGAGGAGCAAGGGGTGAGCTAGGGTGGTGTGTGGTGGATGGGGGCAGGTGGCATCCACTGAGGACCTGGAATTCAGAGCTGGGATTTTAGTGAGGCCAGGCCACAAGCAGCAATGACCCTGGCCTACCTCATGGCCCAGGGTTCCCAGGGCTATGGAAGAGAAGCCAGCCCTGCCTGAGAGGATGGTGGTGGCCTCTGGGAGTTGAGTGTGGTGGGGTCCTTGGAGGAGGAAGATGAGACACAGGGGTCTTTGCTGGTGAATGGTGAAGTGCTGGTGTTGGCTGGGGTCTTTCCGGGAATATACAGGGTCCTGGGCCCCTCCCCATCAGGTGACAGGGTGGTGGAGGCTGGGGCAGGGTGACTCACAGTGAGCATGGCCCCCCAGCAGTAACGAGATACACGAGCGGGTATGGGATCCCTCCCTGCACCCAGCCCTAGGTAGCTGGGAGGGAGCAGAAGGGCAAGCTGGGGCCAGGCACCTGTCCAGGGGGATGGAGAAGTCCAGGAAGGCCGCCACCAGCTCAGGAGTGTGGCTCCGGGCCAGCAGGGTGATGGCGCGCAGGGCGTTTTCCTTGGCTTGCGGGATGCGCAGAGAGCAGAGGTGGATGTGGATGGCCCGGCCCATGTTGGCCACCTGTGGGGAGGGGGCAATTTGAAGGGAGGCTGGCTTGCCCTGGGAGCTCTGAGGGGGTGTCCTTTTTGCCCTGGTAAGCATGAAGCCACTTAAGGTATTGTCCTGTCCTGAGCAGTCTTCCTGTCCTGAAGATGCTGGGTCTTAAGGGTATCCCAGTCTGAGGGGAGGCAGGTCCCCCACGCCTTGCGTGGCATTGGAGGTCTTCACACTCTGTCCACTCTGCCCAGTCACCGTATGGTTCAGACACTGCCCCTGAATCTTGCTGCTCCCTGTGCCTGGAGGGCCCCTCTGCCTTCTCCTTTGGACCCATCTAGCTCATCCTGATGCCCCGTGCAGTGACCCTGCCCGACCCCACCTGTCCGCAGGCCTGGGCATCAGGCATCCTCGTGCTGTGCTGCACCTCCCCCACCTGCAACCACTTCTGCCTCTGCAGATGCCATGCTGTCCTGCCAAGGTCTGCTGTGTGTCTGCTGCCCTGCGTTTCCTCCTCACCCAACCTCTACATCAGAGCCCGCAGCTACTTCTGGGTTGAGGCACATGTGCCCCATGATGCCGTGGTCACTGCCTGGGACTGGGGGACTTGTGTGGGCCAGCTTTCATTCGCTCATTAGTTCAAACCCTCAGACTATGTAGGACGGGACCTGTGTCCACCGCCATCATGCCCAAGGCCCTGAGCCCAGGGGGCTGACTGCTGGGCCTGCCCTCTGCCCTGGCCCAGCCCTCCGTGGGTGCCCCAGGCCCCTCACAGTCTTCAGCTTGGCCCCGTGATCCTGGATGACAGCAAGCAGCATCTCAGCAGCCGCCTGCACGCAGAAGGAGCTGTTGGAGCCCAGGCTGTTGATGGCTGTCCAGAGGAGGTCGTTCAGCTCCCCCACTGTGAGATGCTGTGTGATCTCCTGCAGCAGTGGGGTGGGGAGAGTCGTCACCTGGGGCCCTTGTGGCTGGCACCTGCCTCCCCACTTCTGCTTTACCCCTCTCCTCTGCCCAGCTCCCAAGTCTCTGGGCATGTCCAGCCTTTTGAGCACTCTCTGTGTTCCCAAGCACGTGCCCAGAGATTTTCAGCCTACTATTTCCACCTCTCTGGGAGCCAAACACAGTCAGGTCTCTTTCCTCACTCAGACCCCGAGCTCGTCTGGGGACTCAGTGGCCCAGCCTGCCTCTTCCTCTCTCCTCCTCATAGGGCTTTGTCATCTGCCAGCTCAGCCAGTGGGGTGCTCACCTCCACCAGGCCCTGCCCTCTTTATGAGCATTTTAACCAAAGAGAAAGTGAACTTCATGGCTAAGAAGGATCTTCAAGGTCACCTACACCAACTCCTAGGCCCAGAAAGTACATGAGCTGCCCTTGGCCATGGAACAGTGCAGAGACAGTGGACCAGGCTGGGCTCCTATGCCCACAGCAGCACCACCTCTACTGTGCTGTAGAGGTCCACAAGCAGACCATGAGCTGCTCAAGAGTAATGAAGGTGGTGGTTCTGATCCCTGCCTCATAGCCTTAGATGACAGCCTCCTGGAGGGAGGTCCTGGGCCAGGTCACTGCTAAACAGATGGGGACCTGCTGGTACCTGCTGGTTACCAGCCACATGGAGCTATTTACATTCACATTTCATTAAAAATTCAGTTCCTCAAAGATACTGGCCATATTTCAAGTGCTCAGTAGCTCCATGTGGGCAGTGCCTACCTTGGGTGGCAGAAATACAACCTGTCCATTCTTTTAGAGAGCCCTACTGGACAGAGCGGGCTCAGCACATCTAATCAGGAGAAGCTAGGAGGCTGAAGCTGCAGTGATAAGAGGGGCCTGACAGAAAATTAGGAAGTTTGTGAGGGTATAAGGATGGTAAAGTGCTTCTTTGCCTATGAGTTTCTTTGTTGCAATTTCTTTGTTGCAATGTTTGAAAAGTCTGTTGTGTTCCTGTATATTCAAGAATATAAAAATAAGTGTTAAATAATGGATATAAGAATATTTATGTGTATCTTATAATTCTAAAATTTGGTACAAAGCTTTTGAGACTGTTAGGTTATTAGTGTGTTGGTTAGAATGTCTAAGTAAATTTAATGGAATCTTTGCAGATTGTAACAACTTTGTTTTTGGAATATTAGGCTAGAATATCTGTTGTAAGATTACATTTAAAATTGTTAGCTAGAATGTTAAACTTCTGGCTACAGTTTTGGCATTTAGAAAGTTTATGAAGAGATTCAATGTGGAATGGTGGCTAGACACTTGAATCCCAGAATACTGTGACCTCAGGCTTTACAAAGTCTTTTGAGGTGTCTTACTTTAATCAAAGAAATGAATAAATATGAGGTGGTGGTGAAGAGGATGGTGTAGGGTCATAGTAATGGTATGGACATGAGGGTATAGTCATGGTGGTGGTGATGAAAGTGCTGTTGGTGGTGGTGGCCTTTGTGATAATGAAGGTGGTGATGGTGGAGATGGCGACAGTGGTGGTGTTGATGGTGGTGGGGTGGTGATGATGGTGGTGGGGTGGTGATGATGGTGGTGACAGCAGTAGTGATGATGAACTAGTGGTGTATCTAAGATCACATGAAGAGTCAGGAACAAACTTGGGACCAGAACCCAGGCCAAAGCGTTCTCCAACCCAAGCCTGCCCAGACCTGCCTCCCCATGATTAGCAGACCCCCTAATCCTCTCCCCTTATCATTACTTCCATCTGCCCAGGCAGAGTCAGAATATACTGTGGACACCCACAGTCCGTGTGAAGGCACCACACAAGGTGGTGCAAGCTGCTCCTTCCCAGGTCCTAGGCTTGTGTTCCTACTCACTCAGCCCCTGCCCCCGAAGGGCCCACATATTCTGGGGTCCTTAACTGCTGACCCCATAGAGCTGGCAGCCAGTGAAGCCCTTCCCTCCCTCCCTGCCTCTGCCCTCAGCCCAGCTCTCTGAAGCCAAGTGTCCTCCCTGCTGGGCACAGACAATGGATGTGTTTGCCCCAAGGCTTTAGATTTTCCACATTAATCGTCTCAGCACTCTGACCAGTTAACTGGTTAACTGGGACTGGATCAAGTGGCACAAGAGACCGACAGCCATGTGCTGCCATTTCTTCATCATTTGGTTCAATCTGGCTTAATTTCTCGGGTGTTGTGAAGGTCAGCTATACCACCAAGTGAGACCCCACCCCCAATCCCAGCAAGCACAAAGGGCTCACTTAGCCAGGGTTCAGCATCAACCACGGGTAGACAAAAGTCACCGTCTCAGAGGGGACTGAGGAGGCTCATGCCACATTACCCCACATCCCACTTGCTCTAAGCCTCATGTACTGAAGGTAATACAATTAAATCACGATGCAAAGAGGGGCTGTAATGGGGAAATGTAAGCAGTCCAGGTAAGGCTGGAAGGGTGAGGAAGGCGCATGGTGTGTCTGCGGACCCCAGCCCTCAACAATGTGGGGGGTGTGTAAACTCCAGATTCCGTGGTGTATCCCCCACCTCCAGATACCTTGGGTGTGCTCTGGACATGCCCCCCACCTGGACCTGCCCACGACTCTCAGGGCTTTGACCTTGATGACTTGGGAGCTGCTGAGCTGAAAGACCTGGTTCTTCTCTTGCTGTAACATTGTCTCCAGGGGGTCTGGGGGAGTCGCCCTCTGGTCTTCACTGCTCCAGGGTGGGGCTTCGTCCTCGCTGGACTGACAGAGCTTCCTGAGGGTCTTCGGGGTTACCCCTGAAGCTTCTCTTTCTGGCCAAGGGCAGGGTGGGGGTGAGAGCTGGGCCATAGTGGGCTTGGGGTGGGGTCATTTGCAGCCAGTGGCATGCCTGTGCTGCAGTTTGGGGAGGCCATTATAGGGCTATGGTTCAGACCAGGGTTGGGTTTATGAGCAGATTTGGGGGGAGGCTGAGTCCGAGGGTACCGGTGTGGGTCTGCCTGAGGTGGTGGTAGGAGGGTGCTGTGGAGGCTGGAAGGCTTACCTTTCTGGTACATGAGGAGCTGATGGAGATGGCACAACCCTTCCAGGCTGGAGTTCTGGGTGGCCTTGTCTGGGTCCTGGCATAGGACACCCAGCATGCCCACCAGCTGCCCAAACCTCTTGAAGTTCTCTTTTGGCTGTGTTGGGAGTGCAGGGAGCTGCTGACAGCACAGCCCACCCAGGGAGCCCCTGCCTGCCACTCACTCACCCTGGCACTGCTACCGTCAGAAGTGACCACCTCAGACTGTGCGGCAGGGCTGAGACTAGGGTTTGGGCAAACTATGAGGGTTTGCCAAAACCTCAGAAATACATGGAAATAATATTTTAAGGAAACATTTAGAAAAACCAAAAGTAATGCAGAAAGCTCCACCATGCACAAAGTCTCAATATTTTTAACAAAGACAGGATCCAGCCCTGCATGCGAATGACCCTGCCTCTCTGGCCTTTCCCCTAACTCTGGCCATGGTGCCAATAAAACTTTATTACAAATACAATGGCCCTTGGACCACAGTTTGCTGATTAATTTTCTTTTTTTTTTTTTTTTTTTTTGAGACAGTCTCACTATGTCGCTCTGGATAGAGTACCGTGATGTCACAGCTCACAACAATCTCAAACTCTTGGGCTTAAGCGATTCTTTTGCCTCAGCCTCTCATGTGGCTGGGGCTACAGGTGCTTGCCACAGCGCCTGGCTAGTTTTTGTTATTGTTGCAGTTGCAGTTGTCATTGTTGTTTAGCTGGCTGGAGCCGGGTTTGAACCCGCCAGCCTCAGCAAATGTGGAAGGCGCCCTACTCACTGAGCTACAGGTGCGGCCCTGCTGATTAGATTTTTTAAAACGTCACATTGAATATGGATTTTTTGGTGCTCTGGGGAATTCTGCTCCTGAGGCAGCTGCCTCACTTGCCTTAATGAGGTAAGAGGTGTGGAAATGGACTTGGAGTGAACCGAAGTTACTTGGAGCCCATCCCCAGGGTCCCTCCTCTTCCCAGCTTCCTGTGGCAGCACAATCCCTATATCCCTCTGGTAATCTGTCTCCTGTCTCCATTAAAACGGGCAGCTAGTGGAGCAGCAGGGCCAGGACTGAACTTCCTTGTGGCCCTGCCTTTCACTAAGGAGCTGATGCCTGCCTGGGCTGATAGATGCAGCAGCACCAACCCCCTGCACCTGCTGGTGTTCACTCAACCCAAGGGCAGCTGCCACAGATCAGGTTAGTGGGACCATGAACTGACGCGGCCTGCCCTGGGGCACCAGGGAGTCTGGGCATGGTGGCTGCTCCATATAATAACACGGACCCCCATTTGGTGGAGCTGCACAGAGGAGGGGCCTCCTCCTCCTCTGATTCCCACCGCGGCCCTCTAAGGAGTCAGGGTTCAGGGTGACTGGGGTCTGGGGTCAGTTGTGTGGCCGGTCCTGCCCTCCCAGGCCTGCTTCCCCACATTTACAGAGAGTGACTAGCTGGGTATCTGTCAACCTGAGCCCAGAGAAGGCTGAAAGAGGGTCAGGGACCCACCCTGTCCTGGAGGCAGGTGTCCAGGGTGTCCTGGGAACCCCAAGAGCCCTAGCAGGCTCTGGGAGGAGGACGGCTCAAGTTGGACCCCTGGGCTCCAGAGCAGGAGGCCCAGCCGGCGCTGGGGTATGGACGCAGGCCGAGCTGGTACTCACATCCAGGAGAAGGTTGTGGCTTAGGAATTTGAGGAGGCTCGTGCAGCTGCTTACAGCCCGCTGCCTCTCGTGTGACTTCTCCGACGCCAGCCAGACGTACATATGCTGCAAGGCGGGCAGGGTCAGGGAGCCGGTGCAGGCGGAGCTGCAGCCACAGAGGGCCTGGCTCCGCCCACCACCAGCCGGGTCCCACCCATCGCCCCAGGCCCCACCCACCCTGTGTGGGTTCCAGGGCGTGGGCCTCACCTTTTCCCGGGGTTCAGCCCCCTGGCTTTCTCTGTCCCTCTGCAACCCCTCTGCCCTCTGAGCCTCATTTTGTCCTTTTGTAGCAGGACATATCCCCTTCTGCTCAAAACCGTTTGAAGTTCCTGGTTCTCAACCTTTTCTGTGCCATGTACCCACTTCTAGAACAGCACTTTCCCCATTGGAGAATAGCGTTACAAGGGAATGCAAGACGGCTTGAAATAGTTACATCCAATAGCTTTAACCCAAATCTCAGCCTCTTTTTAAAGGCGAGATGGGATTAGTTTGTGAGTCTGAGGTAGGATAAGGATGTATATGGTATTTGGAGATTCTGCGACCTAATGATGTCCCAGAAAACATCTGTGATTTCACTGGTGGCATCCCCTGTGCTCCTACGGGCATGCCGTCTTGCAGCTCAAGGTGAGGAAACCTGCAGAAGGCATTTCCTCCCTCCTGTGTTTCCACCTGGACTTTCATCTGGCACCTCAGGTGGGCAGCGCCTGCCTCACCCCTGCCCAGCTTCTTCCCTGCCCTGGCACCTGCTGAGCAGCCTCACTCTCCCCACCCCCCCGGACCCCCAACACTTCCCTCTTAGGCCCCTCATCCTCCAGCCATGGAGCCTTCTCCACTCTGGCTGCTGGTCTCATCCCCGCTGCTCTCCTTGCCCTGCTCCCCCCCACACCCAACAGGCAGCCCTCACCGACAGCAGGAAGTGCAGCTCTGCGTGGGTAGGGTTCTGGGTGATAAGGCTGTGCAGCATTTGGTCCAGTGCCTCCAAGGTCTTGTTGTACAGGGTCTGTGCAGGGGTGAGGGGCAGCTCAGGCAACACCAGGCCCCAGGTGGTTTAGGGTCAAGGGCTGCTGCATGGTCTGAGTGACACCTGTGGCCTGTGCATGCCAGTCTGTCCCCCATTGGAGCTCATCCGGTGCCCACAGAGGGGCTCTCCACAGTCCTCATTAAGCTGACACGGAGACGAGGGAAAGAGGCTGTGGGACCACCAAGGGGCACAGATTTCTCAGTGGCCTGGGCGGGTTTATCCCCAGCTTGGCTGGCTTCCTGGGCAATGACTTGGGGTAGTGACCTGGGCTCAAAAGGGTCCTGCACTGGGTTAATGTTCTGCTGTCTGAAATCCTGTCTTGAAATCTTTAACAAGTTTTAAGAAAGGGCTGGTGTTTTAATTTAGCACTGGGCCCTGCAAGTGGTGCGGCTGGCTCTTGCTGGTAGTCTTACAACCCAGGCCCCCCATGTTTGCTGCTTTGCTTGCTAAGCATGTTCAGGGAGGGAGGGGACCTCAGAAATGTCCCTGTCTACCTTGCGGTCTGGGGTCTACCAGGTGCAGAGCCCTGGGATCCTGGGAACTGGCTTCCTGTCTTCCCCTCACCTGGGGACAGCATGAAGCCAGCCCACCTGTCAAGGTGGAGGCAGGCAGCGGGTGGGAGAGCAGGAGCCCTGGCCCAGTACTCCCAGCGCTGGACCCCTTGCCACCAGGGCACTCTCTGGGTGAGCTAGCTATAGTGTCACCCTGTTATCTGGTCACTCTGGACCCCTGTGGGGTTGGGGTGGGGGCAGACGCTACCCTTCTGGAGGGCTATGGCCATGGTGTTGTCCTGGATGCAGGGGACCCCTCACTCTCACCATCTCAACAAAAGTGCTAATCTGTTCAGTTCTAGGTTGGACCCAGCCTAAGGGGGCAGGTTTGGGGTTCAAACCCTGAACCTCCTGCTGGACAACTTCCTTTCTCTGGAGCTATTCTCTTAACTCTGGAGAAGGTCATATAAAGTCCTTAGAAAGGCTGGCACATAGTAGGTGCTCAGTTAACCCCAGCTGGCTGGTCTTTTGCTTCAGGCTGTCAGAGCCTGGTGAGCCATGTGCCCTCTGCTAATGGCCATGAGCAATGTGAGTGGTTGGCCAGGTCTGTGGATAGCAATCCCAGAACTCCTTCCTCTGGCCTCATGGGGGGTAGGGTGGGCTGTACAAGGCCTGGTGGGAGATGACCAGTAAGTAGCTGGGGGTGCGAATGGACTCACCTGCAGGTATAATAAGGACTTAGTGTCTGAGTGGGGTGTCTTGGACCCCTGTGAGAATGGGGAGCTCATCCCTTAGAGGGAGGCACCACCTTTCCTCTCTGCTTCCCTTAGGCTGCTGGGGAGTTGGAGAAAAGCTCTAGCCTGGCCTGCCTTGGAGACCCCACAGGGCTGACAGCCCAGCGTGCCATCCTTGCTCTCAGGTCTGCAGGGAGCGAGAGAGGCCATGCACACTGCCAGGTACCCCTGCACCCCCACCCCCGGCTCTGCTCCCATGGCTCATTTCAGCCTCCTGATGTTCAACACCATCAGTTTTAGTGACATTATTCCCCTTCACAAGTGGGCAAACACGCAGGTACTCAGAGGAGCTGAGAAACTGTCCGGGGTCCCCCAGCCCTGGAGAGTGGGTGATGGCCAGCCTTGCTCTCCCAAGCATGCTGGTGTCTTTCCTCTGCTCAGGGTTTAGGCTCAGGGACCTCACCTTGATGTTGGGCGGCTCCAGAAAGAGGCAGGAGTGCTTCTCCAGGACGTCCAGCAGCGGCAGGGCAAACACGCTGCGGAAGCAGGTAGAGAGGAGCTTCGACTTCTTTTCGAAGTCCAAGGGTGGTGGCAGCTCACTGTTGGGGAGACAGAATGGTGGACCTGGGGACTGGGGGAGGCCTGCAAAACTGGCCTGCGAGTGCCAGGAAGCACCCACTTCATTCCATGGACTCCAGCCTTCTGCTCAACATGGGGCCAGGGCTGGCTGTACACACACGCCTCCCTGGGGCCTTGTGTGGTATGTCCCAGCCAGGTAAGCTCCTGCTCACTTCTCCTTTCAGTCTCTGGCTTTAGAGAGCTCCTTGGTGCTGATGACCCCAACTTTGTGTCTCTAGTCAGGTGTGTAAGGAGTGTCCTGCTTCAGCCCAGCCTGGGTGTACCTGTCACTGTGCAGGGCAATACCATCCTTCTCGTGGCCTGGAGCACAGCTGCTGCCCCTTCTCGGGTCATTTCCCTCCCCTTGGGCTGTGTCCAGTACTCCAGCAGGTCTTGACAACTCTACTTCACACTTTATTCAGTATTGAAAGACTTACTATTGATCAGGTCACCTGTTACCTTCTCCTGGACTGTCCTGGGGGTCCTGACTGGTCCCCCATTTCTTTTGCTGGAACCACCACCTTTTCCCCACTCTGTGTCCAGACATTCCTTCTCAAATGTAATCTTTCCAGAGGCCCAGCTTCTCTCAGCCAAGAGCTGACATCCCTGAAGTGGTCTCCCCACAACTCCTGGGACCTCATCAGTCCTTGCCCCTCACTCAATGCCTGCAGCCACCCTGGTGCCCTACTTGTCCTCCAGTAACCCCAGTATGCATCAGTCCAAGGGTCTTTGCACTTGCCATTCCCTCAGCTGAATACTTGCAGGGCTCGCTCTCTGACCCTTTTAGGTCTTTGTCCCAAAGTCCTCTTTTAAGCAGCCTATCCTGGCCTCAGGCTGTGTCCAAGAGCCCAGAAGAGCTCTGGGCTCGTGGTGGGTGCACAGTCCACCGGTATTCTACCAGTTCTCACTAAGCCTCCACCCTGTGAAGATTTGACATCCCCTCCCTGGCTTCCTCCTATCTTGTCTTCTTTCCCTGCCCACATCAGTCCCTGTCGTGTGTGGGGTCCCTGGAAGAACCAAGTGACTGGAGGGGACCTGGGTGCATCCCCTTGCTCCCTGAGTGTCAGTCTCAGAAAACTGGGATCTTGGCTGCTGGCTCACAGCTGGTCCTCAGAACCCAGAAGAGTGCCTGGCACATTGTAGGTGCTCAGCCTCTGACCTCCCCCCCACTTCACCGTCCTGCCAGCACCCAGCCCGAGTGGAGAGGCTGCCTGACCCTGTGGAGGGCCCTGTGTGGGCCAGGGGCCTACCAGAGGCTGGAGATGATGTTGATGGTCTGCTGGCGACTCAGCGTGCACAGGGTATCTTGGGGCTCCTTCTCCATCAGAACCTGCATGGCAGGGATGGGGTTGAGTCACTCAGGCCTGGCCTGTCCCACTATAACACCAGGTCTCATCTCCACTTGTAGACCTCAGTGCCTGAACTATAGGATTTTGTTCCAGCCCACAAAGCTCTGGGGTCAGACAGGTTCCCCATGTGCATGACCACTGGCAGGTCCCCAAACTGCTCTGTGAGCTCATAGATATACGATCTGTTGCACACGTGTTCTGTATGTATGTGGCAAGGTGTGCAGAGCAGTGTCTGGGTTCCAGCGGGAGTCAGGGAACAGGAACTGCTCTTTAATTAATATGCTTGTTATTGGCTGTTACTATAATTGCCTGGTCACTCCTGGGGGACCCATGGGACCTCTAGCACCACAAGCTGCTGTAGCCAGTCTGGGCCCTCAGTGAGGTCAGCAGGTGTACAGGGGGTGGCACTGGCCTCTGATCTCAGCTGTATCCCCTGTGAGGTGGACATAGCCATTTTGGGGTCCCTGGAAGAACCAAGTGACTGGAGGGGACCTGGCTGTGCATCCCTTCCACCCATTCCCCAGTGGGTGGTTTGAGGGAGGTGCCCTCCTCTGCCCCATTGCACGTACCATCAAACATTCAAGGAGCTTGGAGGTCTGGGCGAACTCATAGCTGTGGGCGCCCTCGTCCCGATGGATGGCTCCCATCAGCATCAGGATGGCAGAGAGGAAGCTCTGCTTCAGTATCTCATCCTGGCATGAGGTGGGCCCAGGACAAGGGGACAGGGTCAGGGTTGAGAGGACAAGAGTGTGTGGGAGAATGTGAGGGTGTGTAGTGTGACCCAACGGCAGCAGGGGAATTGCTGAAACAGCAGAGACCAGTCAGGTGTAAACCCTAGGAGAGTGCCTGTAAGTCTCTTGAAACACACCAGTCCCAAGCCCTAGTGCCACTGCAGCCATGTGGTCCCCCTGGGGCAGAAGTAGCTCTGTGAGCCTCTCAGAGAGACCCAGCTTGGAGGCCCCTGGAGCAGAGTATGGAGTCCATGTGGCATGATAGAAGTTACCTGACCTGTCCATACCCACCTCCCTTTCCCTAAAAAGGGAAAACCCAGGATTTGCATTGAGAGAATTCTGGAGGGGGAGGGCACTCTGGAAATTGGGCGAGCAGTGGGGTGAGCTCCCAGGCCTGGGAGGCCCAGTGCCCCAACTCTGATGAGCTAGTGGGCTTGTTGGACTGGAGTCCAGACCCAGTCCTGGGAGGGGGTACAGCAGGATACTGGGGCCCTCTGGAGGGCAGCCCTGGGCCCATACCCAGGAGCTGTAGTGGAAGTAGAAGATCATCCGTGACAAGATGTTGTCTACCCAGGGGAGGATGTGGGCCTTGGCCTTGGCTGCCACCTGTCCATACGCCAGGAGGATGGTGCTGCTGGCCCATTTCCACTGTAGGTCCTCTGTGTTCTGGCCATGGCCGTAAGGGGCAGATAAGGAGTGTCGGGGTCAGCAGAGCTCTGGAGGCAGGGTGTCCTGAGGGGTTGGGGTGCTGGGCCCCCAATGACCTCAGCAGGAAAATGGGGGAAGTAGAATTGGCTTTTAGGGGATTGGATGGGCCTTGTCAGGGCCACTCAGGAGCATGTAGGGCACTCACTCTGCTGGAACTGGCTGGAGTCTAGGCCCTTATCACCCCCTCCTTGAGGAGCCCAGGGCCGTGAGCCCATCCCTCCCCCACCTCCCCCAGATCCCCACTTCCTGCTGAACGGGCAGCATCTGGCTTGTGGCCCCCCTTGGGCTGCCGGAGGCCTGGGAGCATCATGTCTGACTTAAAGAGGTGAGGACATGGAACTTCGGCTCTGGTGGGACCTGGAGAGTGTGGGGGGCAGGTGTGTTCCTGTGGCTCTTTGTGACTAAGGCGCACTCTGAGGGCTTGTGATGTGGGCTCGGCCCTGCTCTGCCACTTGCTGGCTGTGGGACCACAAGACTCTTGGCCCTGGCTGGGTTGTCAGTGGTCAGCTGTGAGCAGACCTGGGGATAGTGTGCATGGCCACCTTCCCCTCACTTGTCCTTGGGCTCCCCACCCCGAGGTTCAGTGTCCAGCATGGTTCCTCCGGCAGTGTGGAAGGGGCGGCACTGCTGTATGTTGTCCGCTCACAGGACACAAGGTTGCTCTCTGACCCGTGCCTCACATTTTAGAGGGGTCAGTACCAAGGGTCAACGGTAGACTCTGAGCATGTCACAGGTGTGGCGAGGCTTGTCATTGCCTGGGCCCCTCTATTTGCCAGGGACTCCCCAGCAGCCCAGGGAGGGAGGAATTATTATCCAAGAGGGGTAAACTGAAGCACAGAGGGGCTGCACTGCAGGGGGGTTAGTGGTGGGACTGGAGCCCAGGGTTTGAGGCTAAAGCTCACACTCCTGATCTCACCCCAGGAGTCCCAGCTTGGAGTCTGGGGCTTCATGGAGGGTGAGCGTCCCGGTGTCCCTACCTCTTGACAAGGTCCCTGTGGCCCCTGGACTGGTACCTTTTGGGAGAAGCTGTGGAGGCTGCATTTGATGGGTGTGCTCCGACCAAACCGGTCCAGAACAGCCCAGACATCATCCAGGTGGCGGGTCGCGGCCAGCCCCAAGGTGAGAGCAATGCCCTATGTGGGTGGGGACCAGGGCCACTGATGAGGGCACCACAGGGCCACAGGACTGGGCCTGGGCTCTCACCTGGCAGGTGTGAAAACTAAGGCCCAGGTAGGGGTTGGGGGCTCCTCCAAGGTCACAGGGCATCCACCCCCCACCCCACATGCTTTAGGACAGGCAAGTCCAAGCCTCGCCCATGGGGCATCTTGTATGGGGGCTAATGGGTGGGCCTGGGGAGGCAGGAGGCAGAGATGGATCCTTGGAGGTCTGTCATCCCTCACCACTAGTTCTGAGCAGATGTATGCTGGGGTAGGGATGAGGAGATGTGTGTGGGATGAAGGAAGAAGACCTAAGTTGTGGGTGAAGTCAGGGATCAGTCTGTGACCAAGGTCAGGGCTCAGACCAGGATCAGGGTTCAGGGCTCAGTGTATGAAAAGGCCAGGAGTCAGGCTGAGACCAGGTCAGGACCCAGGTTATGACCTGGATCAGTGCTCAGTGTGTGGCCAGTGTCAGGGTTCAGTGTATGACCAAGGTCAGGATCAGGTGTCAGTAGGGAGAAGTCTCCGTCTGTGACCATGTTTAGGGCACGTGTCACCAGCCATTACACTAAGCCTGTGGTCAGGATCAGGTAGTCATGGGGACAGGGTGGAGCCTAGGTCCTCACCTCCCTCTGCTTGGGCCACTGGTGGGATGTTCCCAGGAGAGTTTGCAGGTGTGTCCTGACCGTGGCGCTGTTCCCTTCAGCTTGAAGGATGAGCCCGTAGTAGATAAACAGGAAGGTCTGTGGGAGGGTTTGCGTCCTGTCCTGAGCCTGACCTGCCTCCCTCCGGTGGCCTGCCTGAGCAGCTTGGCCCCCTCAGTCGGCCTCCCTGGCCCTTCAGCCATCCTTGCCACTCTGCTCTGGGACTGTCTAAGCCTCGGTGGTGCAGCAGGGTGTGGCTCCAAGCCCTCTGCCCAGGCCCCCCATCCTTGCTTCTCTGGAGCACATCAGTTTATTTCTAGGGTCCTGTGCATCTTGTGGATGGAGCCCCTGGGGCCCTGTGTGGGGCCAGCAGGGGTGCCTTGGGGGAGGCGGGGGTCCCACCTTTTCTGGGGGCTGCTCCTGTTGGGTGGGGCTGGGTTTGCTGAGTGTCCACAGTAGCTCCTTGGCCCACACGTCTGTGTTCAGGAATGGGACTGACTTGATGGCCATCTATTAGCAGAGGACGGGCAGGGGTGGTGTGGGCCCTTCCTCCACCTGAGGGTGGGGGGCCTCAGTCTGTGCTGGCCCCAGTCCCCTTGGCCTCCCTGAGCCCTCAGTCCATCACTCCCTCATCCCTTCCCTCTTCTGAGTCTCCAGGACCCAGCTGTCTTGTTTGTTTCTTGGCTCTTAGGGATGGGGAACTCATTCCTCAAGATATCCTCTCTGGAGGTATTTGAGGTGAAGCTAGAAAACCAGGAGCCTAGGGGACTGGAGAGTCTGGTCCTGACTGTGTCCCCAGTAGTGACTAAGGGCCTCAGACATAAGAGAAGTGTAGCAGTGCCCCTCTGTGGGTGGGTGCCCAGAGGCAGAGGTCTGATTCATTCTTGGCTGTGTCCCCGGCGCCTAGCCCAGTGCCTGGCACATGACAGATACCACATTGATTTCTTTTTCCAGTTAATAAATGAGAGATCAAATGAGTGAATGAAATGTTCCCTCAGAACATAAGGTCCTGAAAGTTCTGTTTCTAAGATCACATGATTTTGTAACCATTACAAGATTTCTCTATTTTCAATGTTTTCAGATTCTGTGTCCTAACAATTCTAAGGTTTTTGATCCCAAGCTTCTTTTGGGGTGGAGATACCCTCCTTAAGTATGATCTCAATCCTCAAAATCTTAAAAGAAAAGATCGAGAATGTGAAGATAAACATTTTAAAAATGTTTGCTTTGCAAAATTACTATAAATTAAACTGAAAGATGTAGTAAAGTTTTGTTTTTTCTGTTACCTAGTGCCAAAGGTTGGTATCAATGATAAACAAGGAACGTTTTGTAAATCAGTAAGGAAAAGATAAGCGATCCATTTTAAAACGATGAAAGGACATACATGTGATGAAGATACTATAAATTCAAGCCTGCTAATATTTAAGGAGTAGAAATTAATATTATATATCATTTTGGTCAAGGTGTGCAAAAAAGGCTCGGTGCCTGTGGCTCAAGTGGCTAAGGCGCCAGCCACATACACCTAAGGTGGCAGGTTCGAATCCAGCCTGGGCCCACCAAAACAACAATGATGGCTGCAACCAAAAAATAGCCAGGTGTTGTGGCGGGCACCTGTGGTCCCAGCTACTTGGGAGGCTGAGGCA